AGCACATTAATCCTTCTTGTCGAGGACATTGGCTTGTAGAGGACATTCCAGCACCCATATGGTGGCTGACAACGGTCTGTAACTTCAGTTCCAGAGGATCTGATACCCTTTTCTGGTACCCTCTGGCTCATGCACATATGTGGTGCACATACATTTACTCAAGCACATACACGCATACATAAAATAAATAATAATATCTTTTTTCAAAAGCGTACAATCACTTAGGGGATGGGTAACAGCCCAGGGGGTAAGATCCTGTACTATCCTTGACCAGGACCTAAGTTCAGCTTCTAACACCCATGCTGGGTGGCTCGCAATTGGCTTTAACTCCATTTTCAGGGGAATTGACTCCCTCTTTTGGCTTCTGCAGGCACCTGCATGCATATGGTGCACATAGCACCAAAGAGATAAACAACATGCACATAGTTAAGAATAATGAAAATACACCATTAAAACTGGGTACAACCATCCAGTTTATGGTAGCTGTGTAGATCCTCTGCCCCTCACTAAACATAACCAAACTGAGTAGCTAAGAGGACATTGTGGACTTGATGGGAAGTCTAAGGTTAGGCCATAAAATATATAACTCTTTGTTACACCCTTTATTCTGGGGGCAGCCAGTCCAGCATGAGGCTGTCAGGGAGCCCTAAGGATGGATTTATATGGTAACAGCAGCCCTAAGGATGGATTTATACAGCAACAAGAGGAACAGGTTGCTGGCCACATGAGTGAACCTTCTTCCAACTAGTTTCTTCAGCACTGGTGGAGCCCGCAGATGACATCAGCCTGGCAAATGCCTGCAATCTGTCCAGAGACCCAGATGTCCAGAAGCATCCAGGCACTCCATGCCTACTGGCTGACCCCAAGGAAGCGTGTGAGCTGGCCACAGAGGTACTGCAGCCAAGGCAAGTGTGGTCAGATGAAGTGTTTCCTAAAGGCCTGGTGTTGGACTTCAACAACAGGCTCAGTTTACATTAGGGACACGGGGTGATAAATAATTGATTCTTCTTATAACAGTCTTTGTAGTTAGTGTAGCAGATTCATGCTACCTAAATTCAGAGTGGCGCCCACACTTGTAAAGCAGAGAGGATTCTTGTGAAGAGTAGAGAGACAAGAGCTAAGGAGTCAGAGGCAGAGCCAGCTCTGCAGAAGGAATGAGAGTACAGAAGTAGCTGGTTTAATCTCATCAGACACAGCCCGGTTTGCACAGCAAAGCCACACAGAGTGTGTACATTAAATGTACAACCAGGACCAGGGCACGGCTGTGACTTTCTGTCCAGTTTTTCCAGTACAAATACTTGTAGCACATGGACAAAAAAATAGCAGTTCTTGAGGGGGCAGCTCTCCAAACAAGAAGGGACTGCTTCTGAGATGTGAAAGTCCTAATAAAAATTAAACATGCTTCTCTAAAGAGGTTCTTTCCTGGCTTTCTCTTGAAGTGTTTTGCTGTCCCTGATAATTTGAAATGTGAAAAAGACACAAAGCTATCCTTGCCCTGCTTGGCTAGCCTCTAGGACACTATGACACCAGGGTCATGTGCACAGGAAACACTGGACCATCTTTTCTGAGTTCACATGCAGTTCTGTGGACACAACAGAGACAAGAGTCAGTCTCTAGGTAAAGAAAGCTATGATGGTTACTCTTGAGTGTCAACTTGATTGGATTTAGAGACACCCAGGAGACACACTTCTGGTCATGTCTTGAGGGCATTTTCAGAGGGGTTTGAAGAGAGATGAGCCACCATGAAAGTGGGCAGCAACAAGAAAAGCAATGAATAAAATAGCCTTCTTGGTGATAGCTTGAGAAAGGCGATTTAGCGACTGTCTCAGAGCCAATGACCTTCACAGAGCAGTCACACAGCAAGACTCCAGATTCTGAAGGTTCTGATCCAGGTACCTTAGCTTTGCATTTGGGTTTTTTTTCTTACAAATTGTGGTATTGGTCCGTTTCTTTCTTTGTTGAGTAGGAAAGGATGAACTGATCAATCTTAAAGGGTTAATAAGGATATCAACATAAACAATGTGCCGGGTGTTCAGTGAGGGGCAGTTACTAACAGTGGCGAAAACATCTCTGCTGTGGGGGCAAGGACCCTCCATGACACAGGACACAGGGGTCAGTGCTTACCAGAGGGCTGTATTCTGTCACCCAGTGGAGGTTGTTCATCTGAATGAAACGGCTCAGCTTGGCGGCATCTAAGTTCTCAATCTCTTCAACATCCAAATTCAATTTTTCATTATCAACCTAGAGAAAGGAAACAAGATGCAACAAAGGGCCAAGCAACCCTTGCAGCATCTTTGAGATCGTTGGTAAATGACATTTGATGACGAGGATGTGATAGGCACTGAACACAACTCCAAAGACAGGAAGTAAGTTTCCTACCCTCGGGGGCATTTTTCTCTACTTGTCTCTTAAGGGCTATTTTTGTGTAATATAATTCACTGATTTATTGAATTATGCATTTTCCACCAGTGCAGCTGTTCTGAATTCCATTTCCTTAACCTCTGGCTTATTTTTCACTTAGTTACTTCCCATTCTTCCTTTTTTTTCCTTCCTTTGGTTGGGAAGTTGCTCAAGCTTTGTTTATCCCTTTAAAGACTGCCATTATGTAACACATAGTTTTTAAGTTACCAGAATCTAATATTAGTTGGCATTTACATCTCCCCATTGAACATTAGAACATATATACAAAGATAAAAAACTTAAAAAAAACTTAAAAGATTATCTTAAGCAAATTAAACTTATGAAATAATAAATGTCAAAGTATAGAAATGTACTTCTACATTAGAATTTTTTTTTTTTGGGGAAAATCACCCAAATCACTGGATATTTTAAAATGTGAAGTACTGGCTGTCAATACAGCTCAGTGGTAGAGCACGTGCTTGCTTACTATGTGTGAGCTCCTAGGTTCAATTCCCAGCAGCAAACACACAGAAATGGGCTAGAGATGGGTAGACCAGTTGGTACAAGGCTTGCCCAGCTTGCAGGAAGCCCTTGGTCTGATCTCCAGCGCTATGGGAAACAGACATGTTGATTCTTGTAACCCTAGCATTCTGGAAGGAAAGGCAGGATGATCAGAAACTCGAGGTACTGATGCTGGTCAGTGAGACCAAAGTGGGTGAAGCCACCCGGTACACAAACAATTGTGTTAAAATCCACAACACTCAGTAGGAACATTGAGAAAAAGATGTACGAACAACAGAAAAAGTCTCCATGGACCTCGTTCAGCTTTATATTCCAATATTCTTACCAAACTATCAAATAAATAGAAGGCTGCTGTGGTGGTTCATGTCTTTAATCCCCGCACTTAGAAGACCAGGCAGGAGGATTGCCAGGAGTTCAAGGCAGTCTGGGCCACATGGGAAGCTGTAGGCCCTCCTGGGCAATAGAACAAGGCCTTGTCTTAAAGAAACAGAACGCAAACAGGGGCTTATAGAGTGGTTAGGAGAACTTGCTGCTCATTCAGAGGGTCTGAATTCTGCTCTCAGTACCCCCGGCTGGGTGACCCACAACAGTTTATAACTCCAGCTCCAAAGAGATCGGGCACTCTGCTGACTCTGCCAGCACCCGTTCTCATGGGCACATATCCACGCACAGACATACGGACATATTCACAAAGACAGGCAGACAGACAGACAGATACACACACACACAGGAAAGGAGGAGGGAGGGAAAAGGGTGGAGAGAGAGAGAGAGAGAGAGAGAGAGAGAGAGAGAGAGAGAGAGAGAGAGAGAGAGAGAGAGAGAGCACTGTTCTCTTGAATCTTCTCTATTGCTTTCGGAGGGGTTGCCAGCTGGCACAATATGTCACACTTAGGACTTTGCTATTGCAAACACTCAAATCATCATCAGCATAATCAAGGTCCTCTTAATACTGAGTGTGTCCAAATGCTTGAAGATTATTTTTCTAGGACATTGACGCCTGGCTCCTGTGTGCAGGAGGCCCCGCCCTCCCGCCGGTTTCCAGGCAGTTCCTCAGGTTTCCCAGAATTGGAGAACTGCAGCGCCAAGAACTCCAGGTGGATTTCTGGACTCAGGGAGGCAGAGGAAGGACAAGAGTGTGCAGCAGGGGTAAAGTTCCTTCCCCGGGCAGTGAGAGCGCTTCGGTAAACCGCCCCCTCCCTGGTGTGCAGCAGGGATAAAGTTCCTGCCTGGGCGGTGAGGCACTTCGGTAAACCGCCCCCTCCCCTGCAGGCTCTCAAGTTCTTCCAAAGAAACATACCCGACTATTTCATTATTTCCTAAACTAATAAACTCAGGAGCGTTTGTGTGTAGGGCTCCTGGAGGCAAGTCTTGAACAGGAAGTCTGCTTTCCGTCAAGGGGATCATTTGCATAATGCACTGGAGAGAAAGTTCTACCCCAGAACAAGACTTTGGGAACGTTTTTAAAATATCTATTTTGTGAGTGTTTGGAAGGAATTTTACTTAAGATATCCTCCCCATAAACAGAGACTCCGAAAGCAGAAAGGAGCCCGCTGGAAGGGCCACGAGCTCAGGTGTTTTGGACACTGCACATGTAGAGACCCCAGCGTGTTCTTCGCTCTGAGGGTACTTCTTTGCAGTTCTGCGAGCTAGCAATCATTTCAGAAAATGCACTAAAACTCAGTTTATTTATGTTCTCTCTTGTTTTATTTATTTATTTCAGACAGGATTTCATGAAGTGAGGCTCCTTATTGGTCTTCTATGTAGCCAAAGATGAATCTGCTTCACCTCCCTAGTATTGGAATTACAGGCATGTACCACCGCGCCCTGCTCGTCTTAGTTTATACTACAGTCATAAAGCAACTTGGGTAGCACCGGGAAAGGATTTGTTCAACAATTCCCTCAAGTCTCTAATTTTATATATGTATATATGCTCAGCTGCCATGTATTTTTACACACACACACACACACACACACACACACACACACACACACACTTTTGTTTGTTTTGAGACAGTGCCTCCTGTAGCCCAGGATGGCTTTAAATTTGCTGTGTAGCCAAGGATGACCCTTAACCCTGGCTCCTCCTGTCAGTCTCCTAAGGGGCGGCTTTACAGGTGTGCACCACCACACCCCGCTAAATGCACACTTTACAAAAGTGTTTTGATAATTTGACGTTATTTTTCTCACTTACTAGTTGATTTGTACACACTCATCTCACAGGGGCCAAGACTGCATTTCTTGTTGGCTACTGAACTTGGTATTATGTAAAAATCTTGCACGTGTTACTGGTTTTGGCAGAATGTAGGGGTCATGGAGAGCACCTGGGAGCTTGACAATCTGGGATAAGGTTAAAGTCTCTGTAGAGAGGCTATATAGGTAGGGTTCTATTGCTGTGAAGAGATACCATGACCATGGCAACTCCTGTAAAGGAAAACATTTAACTGGGGCTGGCTTACAGTTTCAGAGGTTTAGTCCATTATCATTGTGGCAGGAAGCATGGTGGTATGCTGGCAGACATGTGCTGGAGAAGGAGTGCTGTGGATATCACTCTATATAAATAAAACACTGATGGCCAGTGACCAGGCAGGAAGTATAGGCGGGACAAGGAGAGAGGAGAATTGGGGAAACAGGAAGAAAGGGGAGAGACACTGCAGCCACTGCCAGGACAAGCAGCATGTAAAGATGCCGGTAAGCCACCAGCCACGTGGCAAGGTATAGATTTATAAAAATGGGTTAGTTTAAGATATAAAAACAGTTAGCAAGAAGCCTGCCACAGCCATACAGTTTATAAGTAATATAAGTGTCTGAGTGATTATTTTATAAGTGGATTGTGGGACTGCGGGGTTTGGTGGAACCTGGAGAGAAGCCCTCCAGCAACAAAGGAGCTGAGAGTTCTACATCTGGATGGGCAGGCAGCAGGAAGAGGATGCTACACTGGGTGTGGGTTGAACATCTGAACCCCAAAGTCTGCCCCCAGTGACACACTTCCTCCAAGAAGGCCACACCTCCTAGCAGTGCCATTCCCTATGGGCCTATGGGGCCATTTTAATTCAAACGACCACAGAGTCCCCTGGTGAAGATTCAGTCTCTGCTGCAGTGGAGACCCCAGCATAGTTGAGATACCAGGACTGTGTGATGACCACTAAGTACAGTGGTAGATGTGGAGAGGAGCCAGTTTGAGCCTCCCAGACAAGCTATGTGTGCTATGATTGACAGAGCCTGAGCAAACTGGAGCTTCCCAAGACCTCTGGAGTCTGGAAGGTAGTGAGTCCCAGACACGGACAGTGTGTAACTGATATTGTTGAAGTTTGGTTTTGCTTTGATTTGATTGTGGCTATGCCCCAGTTCTTACCTCTTGGAGTAGGAAAATATTTAACTTAAAAAAAATTTTTTTTTAAACAGACTTTGGAATTTTGGAGGGACTTTGGTTATTTTAAGATTTTGAACTTTTAAAGAGACTAAAGTCTGGAAGTGTTTGAAATTGTTAAGACTGGGACTTTCAAAGCTCTTTATGCTTTATGTTGTGATATTGATATGAGATTTTGAGGATGAATAAGAACCAAAGGCAACAGTTGAAGAGTGATGCATTTGTGTGTCAAGCTGAAAAGGAGTCAAGTGTGTTGGTTAGTTTTTGTCAACCTGACACAAGCTAGAGTCAATTGGAAAGAAGACTCCTTAAGACTGGCCTACAGGCAAGACCGTAAGTAGTTCTCTTGATTAATGATTGATGGTGGGGAGCCTAGGCCACCGTAGACGGTACCTCCCTCAGGCTGGTGGGCTGAGTACATAAGAAAGCAAGCCAAGCAAGCCATGAAGAACAAGCCAGTCAGCAGCACTCCTCCATGGCCTCTGCTTTAGCTCCTGCCTCCAGGTTCCTGCCTTGAGCCTGCCCTGACTTCTCTCCCTGCTAGAGGGTAGCTTGGGAGATGTAAGAAGAAATAAACCCTTTCCTCCCCAAGTTAGTTTTGGTCCTAATGTTTCATCAGAGCAATAGAAACCCCAACGGCCCACAAACACAGCTTTTGCTGGCCTGATAATAATGAGTCAGTGTATTTTTACGTAATTATTATTTCATCGTACCTTTAACTATATTCTTACTGTTGCAAACAAAGTAACTCTAAATTCTGAAAATTTGCTACCAAACTATACAGTATCTAGATAAAATTCTGAGATATAATCCTGGGGTTTAATTAATACCAGGGGCTAAGGGAAATGGTTTGGGAAAAAGTTTTTAAAATGTAGACTTCAGAATGAGAAACACTAAATAAATACAACCTAGAAATGAAGGAGATTTTCTTTGGGGGCTGGAGAAATGGCTCAGGCATTAAGAACGCTTGGGGCTCTTGCCGAGGACCTGAATTCAGATCTCAGCACCCATTACAGGTAGTTCATAGTTGCCTATACCCCCAGCTCCAGTGGCTCTGACGCCCTCTTCTGGCCTCTGCAGCACCCAAAAGAACATACAAATGCATACAGATGCACAGACACACAGAGACACATGTGTAAATTTAAAAAGAATCTTTAAAGTAGTTTTAAAAAGAATTTCCTGGAGTGCTTTAGAGAGCTGTTATAGCCCAGTAGAAAGGGGAGGTTGAGCATGGAGTCAGGCAGTACTTGGCATTTGTGAAACTTTGGAGAGTTGGCTCAATCTACTGGAACTTTAGTTTTCTTACTGAAAATTCAGGGATAATATTCTTTCTCTTCCCTCCCTCCCTCCCTCCCTCCCTCCCTCCCTCTCTTTGTTTCTTTGTTGATTTTTTTTTTGAGACAAGGTTTCTCTGTGTAACAGCTTTGACTATCCCAGAACTCACTCTGTAGACCAGGCTGGCCTTGAACTCACAGAGATCCACCTGCCTGCCTCTGCCTCCTGAGTGCTAGGATTAAACCCATGCACCCGCCACTGTCTGGCAAGATTATTATTCTTTTTTTTCAAATTTAGTGAGAATTATAATAGTGCCCATCATAGATTAGATACACACAGACACAGTCCTACACACAGAGACACATACAGGCAGATGGACAGACAGACAGACAGACATGGAAATAAACAAATTGTGGAAAATTGCAAATAATAAAATGTGGGTCTAAGTTAAAAGGAGGTCCCAGAAAGCTTGCAAACAGCTCATATTTCCCAATGTAAAATAAAATGGTCTCCGTTTTTCTTTACTAAAGTTATTCTGACTCCTGAACAATGATCCTATTAAAATATGTCCCAAAGTTTGAAAATGTAAACCGAGAAAAAGTGTTTATGTAACAGTTGGCCTGAAAAATCTCCAACCTTTCCCAGTGCTGCCAATGAAGTGGCACAAAACCAGCCCGTTTGTTTGCTGGCATGGCACATAAATTTTGTCCACCGAAGACCCAAGGCTTTGCTCAGAGCAGGGCTGTCACTCGTGGTCAACATAAAACATGATGGGGAGGGTCTTAGAAGAGCCACCACCAGGGCTCCATAAAGAGTACATTGTGAGCAGAGTTCATGCTACTGTTAGGTCTGCTCAGCCCCCCCCCCCTTTTTTTTTGGCTGACATTGAACTCCTGAATTCCTGGTCCTCACACTCCTGAGTGCTGGGACCACAGGGCTGCATCACCAAGCTAGGCAGATCACCCTTTTTCATTTCTATCACTGCTGCTCCACGGCAGACCCTTTCTACCTCATTAAATTATGTATGTGGCTATTTTGCCTATATGTACGTGCACCATATGTGTGCCTGGTGTCTGAGGAGGTGAGAAAGAGTTGGATCCCCTGGAACTAGAGTTGGGAGCTGCCAAATGGATGCTGGGAATCAAACCCGGGTCCTCTGCAAGAGCATCCGGTGCTCTTAACCCCTGGGCCACCTCTCCATCCCCCACAGACTCTCGATGAGTTTTGCAGTCTATTTTGCCTAGCTAGCAGGAGTTATTGCTTCCCACATCTCCGTCTAATAACCCATCTTATTCTTTGTTTCCAAAATAACCTTGCTAAATCTCATTTCTGTCCACATCACTCTCCCGATCCAAATGCTTTGGGGAGCTTTCTGGTGCCAATTAAATTAAGTGCAAACCCAGGACACTGGTACTGTGCTTTGAGCACAAATATGTTCTAATAAAACTTCCCTGTCTTATGTTCCTTTGCCTGTAACATGTGCTTTGGGATCCAGTCAAGTTGGCATCACTGATTCCTAACTACATTGCGTTTCCTCCTTTGACCACGATTCTCCATTAGAGCGGCCAACTTTCGCATATACTTTCCAGTTTAATTGTCTCTTTTGTATTATTTGTCTAAATTTCCACACTATTTTCATTCCCATACCACTTTACCTATAGTAATGTTTTCTAATTTTTTTTTTTCTTTTTTGAGACAGAGTTTCATTATGTAGCTCTGGCTGTCCTAGAACTCACTATGTAGACCAGGCTGGTCTCTAACTCACAGATACCTGCCTGCCTTTGCCTCCTGAGTGCTGAGGTTAATGAAAACATCACCAAGGTTTATAGTGATGTTTTCTTTTTTCTTTTCTTTTCTTTCTTTCTTTCTTTTCTTTCTTTCTTTCTTTTT